CGAGACACTCGCGCTGCTGCGGCTCCGCTGTAGGAAACCAAATGCCCCCAGGGCGCCGCCTGCCCTGCCCAGGACGTGCCGTGTAATTGCAGGTGGCAGCTCTTGCCCAGCAGCGCGGCCACGTTCCCCTCTGGGGCCAGGTCACCTGCAAAGCTTAGGACTGACCCAGGGAATGGGGCGAGCCAGGCTAGGTTTGCAGATCTAATGTTAGGGCCTAGGGAGGCCGGCCATGGGCAGCCTAAGCTAGCGCCGCAGGAGTGGCCCTCCTTCATCTCAGTGGGCTGCAAGATTGTCGTCACCAAGACGGTCTTTCGGGATAGGGTAGTGTTGCTCACGGCGCTCGCATGCCTAGAATTTGCGGGGTGTGCCGACCGAACCGGAGTTGGGCTTTTGACTGGATGCGGAGGGCGCGCACGGCTCTCCCTGTGGGTCTTGTGTGTAATCCGCATGCACCTCATGTCATGTGCCCACGCGTTTCACTTTAGTAAGGCTGGTCGGAAAAAAAACGTACGTGGAGGGAAACCAGCAGAATCTGGCAACCCTGTGCATGGGCAACGGGGAACAAAATGTCTTGAGGCTCACACATAGAACCCCAGTGATCTACAGGTTGCCCACCACTGGCTTAGGTGGCAGAGGAGCAGGAATTTTACATTAAAGTTAGTTTACATTAAAGTGGTGTCCTGAGAGACTAGTCTAAAAACATAGGTCCCTAAAAACATAGGGTACGCTGCACCTCAGGTTGTCATTTGCACGTATATAGCATGAAAGAATAAACTTCCAGGAGGCAGCATTTCATCCCCACCTGTTACTGTGATAAATGGGTACCCTGTGGCAGGCCAATGGTGAATTGGGACCTTGTTTTCATCTTCTTTTAAAAACAATTGATTGTTAAGGCCTGGGCCTAGTGCATTTGTGTATTAATCTAGCACTGGCAAAGAGCAGCACAGGTTTGCCTCCTCCCCATCCAGGAAGTACCTGACCCACACACCTGTTTATTCTTCTAGGGCAGGGGTGGGCAAAAGGGCCTCTGTGGGCCAGATTCGACCCACAAAGTGGGTTGATCTGGTCCGTGGAGGCCCTGCTGCTTCTGCCCCCAGGCCAATTAGGGTCTGGAGCAAATGGTCCTAATTAGGAGCTTTAAATCCCGGGCTTCATTTGCAAGTTTGAATGCCTACTTTAGCCACCTTAGTTCGAACTAGGGTGGCAGTGTAGACATACCCTTAGAGAGCATTTCTGATCTGGACACATTATGGGCAGGCAGGTGTTTCTCATATGTGATGTGGCCTGATTAGAATACTGCTTCTAGAATTAAAACTTTAGATCTCACAAGTAGGGCAGCATAGCACTATCAGCTGGTAATTTTCAGTTACTACCAATGCAGGAACCAGATTTAAATCAGTTAAATACCGTGGGCAGTCAGTAATATAGGCAGGGGAAGACACAGCCTTCCCAAAACTGCCTACATGCTGAATCGCCCACGGCTGAAGACACCGGCAGGGAATGCTGGTGCTACAGAATGGCAGCCTGGTTTGGTGGCCTGGCTTCCCTTAGTGAGGATGGATGGGGCCACGACCCAGCAGCCCGGAGAAGACTGGGGCTTGGGCTCCCCTCCTGCCAGGAAATAATGGGGCCACAGCCCAGCAGCCTGGCTTCTCCTGGCTGCAAGGGAAGGATGGGGCTGTGGCCCTTCAACCCGGCTTTCCCTGGCTGCTGGGGAGGGCTGGGGCTGAGCATGGCAGCCCTGGCTCTCCATGTGGCCAGGAAGCATCAAGCAGGGGTGGGTGGGGCTTGGCTTCAGGGGCGGGGCTTCAGGTGGAAGAGGTGGGGCTGAGGCTTGCTTTCCCCTGCTGGGCTTTTACCCACCTCCCATGCTAATTACCCATTTCAGTCTTCTGTATGCCTGTCAGGAGTCTTATTTTTCTTGTGTGCCCTGAAGGTTCATCTCACTTAAAAACTACTTGCTTAAAAATTCAGACAAAAATACAAAAGTGTTACAACACACCATTACTGTAAAATTAATTATAATATAAATTAAATGGAATATACATATAGAGCAGTATAAATCAGTCATTGTCTGTATGAAATTTTAGTTTGTACTGACCTCGCTACTGCTTTTTATGTAAGCCTGATCTAAAACTAGACAAATATATGAGTTGATGTACTTCTTGGAAGACCTCTTCATACTCTGCAGGTTTCATAGACCTCTGGCTAAGTACCATGAAATGATTAGATACTTAGTACCCCACAAATCTAGCACTCATTTGTTCTGCACAGTAGAATTGTGTTATGTTTTGTGATTACACGGAACTCTAGTTTTCCAATGAAGTATGATATTTTTCTGAAGTCTTAATAGAGCCAATTATTTCAACTGGAGTTTTGCTTAAGGACTGGATGATATAGGCCAGAGTATTCTATTTAAGAAAGGCAGCATTGCTATATAATGGAAGACAGGTATTGTTACAACTGAAATGTTTAGAATTATACTTTTGTTCAGCTTGCCACAATACTTGCTCCCCTCCAAGTTCCTCTTTGCAGCTGGTCACAACAATGGCAGGTAACTGCCTCAGCTTCCCCTCTCAGCCTCCTTGAAGATTCCACCATCTGATCTCTTGTAACCACTATTACCTTTCCAGGATCAGTTTATTATTCTGCATAATGCACACACTCCTTGGAAGCTCCAAACACAGTCAGTTTATTCCACATACAGTACATGTAGTCCATGGGAATACAAAATACAATTCAACAGCACACAGAATCATTGAATACTAGAACTGGAAGGGACCCCAAGAGATAATCAATTCCAGTCCCCTACCCTCATGACAGGACCAAGCACAATCTAGATCATCTCTGATAGATGTCTATCCAACCTGCTCTTAAATATCTCCAGTGATGGAGATGCCACAACCTCTCTAGGCAATTTATTCCAGTGTTTAATCACCCTGACAGTTAGCAAGTTTTTCCTAATGTCCAACCTAAACCTCCCTTGCTGCAATGTAATGCCATTATCTCTTGTCCTATCATCAGAGGTCAAGGAGAACATTTTTTCTCCCTCGTCCTTGTAACACCTTTTTTGGTACTTGAAAA